CGTAATGGACGGTGGAAATTTGAGTTGGCTCTATGTCGGTAATATCTGAGCAAGGAATCCATTCAAGTCTCAAGTCTTCATCTTCACTTTCCAGAACCAAGTTGTCAATTGTAACCCCTGGGACTGATGACATGGTTTGAATAAGAAGTTTTCAAGGAGAGAGAGCATTCTCAACTTTAACGATATCCGTGTGTAACGCTTAACTTCTTTTCCGGGGGTGATGGATGATGTACCATCTTACCCCTTTAGAAGGGGGTATGGTACGGAGGAATACGTCATACTTAGGCCTCGATCCTGACAGTACCGTCGCAAGTAATCGAGAAATCACATTCTTTAAACTTTACACAAACGAAAATGAATAACGTTGTTAATTTAGTCTCCGTTCTTTCAGCGGATTATGAGAAACTGTATGAAAGTGGCCGATATACGGATGTTTCAATCCATGTTGGAAAGGAGCCAAATAGCAAAATATTTCTCGCTCATACGTTGGTTTTATATACGAGAAGCACATTCTTTGAGAATAACTTAACCGGGAATACGGAAACGCCCGAAACGATTCAAAAGGCTGCCATAACCTTTGAAGATGTGACTCCTGACGTTTTCGAAATATTGCTTAGGTAGGGTCTTATAATTGTCAAAGCGGTGTGTATAAGTTGATGCACGACTTATTCTAAACTTATGATCCGCAGATATATTTACACTGGGAAAATGTCCTATGATTTATGCAAGGACATAGGTTGGATGCGTCTTTTGGATGGAGTTACCAAGTTTGAACTACTTGATCTCCTCACTGCAATTGAAACTTTTTTGATTGATCAACAAAATGAATGGATTCAACAAAATATTCTCACAGTTCATAAGTATGCTGCATCCACAACCTCTTTAAACAAACTCCTGGCCTACTGTAATCGAATTATGGTTTCTCACCCGGATATTATTTTTAAATCGAATAATCTTGCAACCTTACCAAAGGAGACTTTGATCACTCTTCTCAAGAATGATGAGCTGAGCATGGATGAAGATGATGTTTGGATGTCAGTCATTCAATGGACCATTAAGCAAGTGCCAGAACTAGAACTTGGAAGTGATCCAGATGATTGGTCATCTAATGACAGCAACACAGTCAAAGATATTATAGCAGATTTTATACCTTATATAAGATTTGTCAGTATCTCTCCTGACAAGGTTGTTCTGTATGAGGATTTGATACCAAAAAAGTTGCGTCAAGATGTTCTAAATTATCATTTGGTCAAAGATTATAAACCAAAAACTCACATGTTACTACCAAGAACAGGACAAGGATGTGAGATAGAGATTGATTCACTTATTATTAACAAACAGCAAGCCAAATGGATCATGTCAAAGATTGTGGAATCAACAAGGCAGCTCCCAGAGAATCAAAAGACATCTATAAAGCAACATGATAATGATGCCTATAAATTTACTCTACTGTATAGACAAAGTAGAGATGGTAATAAAGTTACAAAATTTAGAGAATTGTGTAATAACAAAGGACCCACAATTGCAGTTGGGAAAGTGTTGAATACTGAAGAAATTCTTGGTGGATATAACCCCCTTGCATGGAGTCCCAAAGCAATTGATTATATATGTTATACTAAAGAAAGTTTTATATTTGCATTAGACGAAAACATGCATAAAAAGATAGTAAGTTTTGTTGGTAATAATGGTTCAACTGCCATTATTGATAATCCTAATTACTATCCTATGTTTGGGTATGGCGGCGATTTATCTTTTGGGAATGGCACTAATATCAAACCTTTTGCTAAACGGAAATCATATCAAGCTTCAATAAGACAGTCGGCAGATTGTTTTGAATGGATTGATTGGGAGGTGTTTCTAGTTTCAAGACCTTGATTTAAATTTTAAAATTATTAGATTTTATTGCTATCTGAAAAGGAATACTACTTATCAGTGCTATATAATTACATGATATAAAATAAAAGTTATATGATAACAGACTTCTAAACCTCGAGGATTGGGACTTTGAAAATGGCAAAAATTTCGGTACAGTTATAGCATTGTAGCACGTTTCGCATAATTTATTATTTTAACGTTTACTAATTTCGCTTTTTTTTATATCTTTTTGCTCCTCGAATTTGTTCTCGATTTATTTTCACATTAGCCTTAATCGTCGATGCTGATTTATTGTAGTAAACCGAGTATTTTACGCATTATATTTACTGTATCAACCTACTACCCAATTATAAGTGCGCATTATGTTCAACCAATTTTTTTTTAAAACATACAGATTTATACACGTATTTTGCTGTTTTATTTCCAAGCTATCAATCCTTTTTCGATTATTTCGAGACTTTTAATTCGGGAATCAAAATTTGTCTAGGCTCTGTAAAGAAATTAATAATATCTGTCAAATCGCGCATTTTCATTGTTTGTAAATAATATTAATTGATTATTTGGGTTTCCATATAACCAAATGGCTCGCAAGAACAAATCAAAAACAATCGACGTTGTACTCAGGCAAATTTTACTGAAAACCCGAAGCAATACTTACTGTTTTGTAATAGGGTCAAATATGGGTATATTATTGACAACAGTGTAGATACGCATGTCAAACTGAAGCGATATTTAATTATAAGGAGTATGTACACCGAACATAAAATCACTATTTTTGAAATTGAACTTATTTGTGCCACTATATAAAACATGACCTTGCCATCTGAACTTCGAAGAACAAGTTTCAAATATATCGGATTTCCCCTGAAGAAATTCGTCTACTTCCACTGAGGAAGATCAACAATCATTTCGAAGAATAATCAAAGATAGCAATCGAAATTGTAGAAAGTGAAAATAATATATTAGTTTGCCATGGATGTAATCCGAAGGGTAGAATTCATATAGCGCAGTTATTGGACCCGACGTCTGAACAAGCTAAAAAAAGTATTCCAGAAGATGTTTGTGAAAGAATCTTAGTGTGTTTTGTAAATTTTGGTAATTTATTATTCGTGTAAAAAATTGTCGGAAAATCCAGCAAAGGTTATTGTAAAATCTAAAAAAAAAATTTATTATTTGTGTTGTCTATAGTGAAACGTGTTGCGCAGACATTATATCTGATGCTATATAATTACGTTAAATTAATTGTAGAGGCAATTAGTATTCTTCTGGAAAATCCTTTGCGTAATTTGTGGTGAAATTCGCTTCGTACTGTTTGAAACTTTGACCTATGTATTGTATATCGCGTAGTAATCGAATTCTGGATTTGTGGATAATTACCGTATTTCTCCTACATGTGTATCCGGGATATTTCCCTTGGTCATTTTAGTACCCAGGCTACCGTGTAAGGGGTGGGAGGTACGTCGAGTTAGCATATACATAAGGTTAGACGATGCCCATACCTTTTTAATGGTCGCAAAAACTATATGGTAGTGTGTGTTAACTTTTTTGCGAACAATATGGCCTCTATATCCTGTTTAGCCAAACGAGATGAGTTTGCTCTTTTCTTAATTGGTTTACTTCGATTGCCGTGATTCCGGATATTTGTTAATTCTTTTTGGTATCATGAGAATAGAAATTATATCTAGCGAGAGAAAAAAATCGATTATCGAAATAATATCATATACACACAATAAAATTATGTGTACTTGATACTTACCTCGGGATCGGAAAAGTCTGTCTCAGATTCAGTTTCGAATGTACCATCCTCTGTCGATAATAATATGCTTTTTTTTTCATAATAGAGACAACAAATTATCGTGTATGGTGAGTCAGTTGGCACATGTATCACTCTTTCATATTTTTTTCGCAACCATAACATTAAATCAGGTCCAGGCCATCTGCTCCAAGGATGAAAAATTCGGTGGGGATCGGTGCTTTTATTCTTCCCATCAACAGTAAAATTTGTTTGCAAATCCAAATACTAAAAGATTCACCACGCCCTTCTATTTTTTAAACCTGTCGAGTCGATATAATGTTTTTACATTAACACGCAAAACAATTGCACTCCTATATTTAATAATATATTTACTTGATATATTTTGTATTTTTTTCACCACATACACAGATAAGTCAGTTTCACGTGACTGTTTGTAAGTTTCTTCGATTTAATTGGTGGACCATGATTAATTTACACATTGCTAAACATGCATTTAGATCATACTAATACGATTAAAAGCACTAGACATGTTATTAGATCATACGATTGAAGCAGTAAACATATCGTTAGAATCATACGATAGACATGCATTAGAATAATACGATTAAAGCAATAAACATGTCGTTAGAATCATACGATCAAAATACTAAGATGTGGACGTTATAGATTTGTGAATTTGCTATGTAAATAAAGGTAACTGATAATCCCTCTGTCTTCGTCAGATAAGAATTATATTAGTGTATTAATAATAAACGGTTTAATTAAATGTATATCTTCGATCACGTGGTTTTCAATAAGTCGGCCTTCTCGATAAGTCGGTCATTTGAGGCGGGATACTGTTGTGGCCGACTTATCGAGACTGACTGTGTATAAATAAAAGGTAATTTACACCAAAGTTAATAACAACATTGCCGTCAGTTTAACTATTCTGGTCGAATTTACAACGGACCTCCCTCATTGGATAAAATCGGGCCAGAAAAAAAGGCTCACGGAAGTGTAGGATGTTCCCACATCTAATTTCGTTATCGTTAGCACTAATGAAATAATTTTTTAGGTAGTAGTAATATATTCAGTAGCAATGATGATAATAGCTAATGTGGGAACTGCCATTTTCACTATATAAAAGGCTTAGGATCCGGCAGGCATTATGCTATACTTGCGCTTCCATAATTTAGATTTAATCGTGTGATCTCTAATTGTTACTATAAATTCTAAAACCTAATTAACTAACATTTTCTTTGCGCTTCGTTTTCACATTCCCTAAATCTATTATTCACATGGGCCGGGCGCAAACGTTTCAAAAGGATATCAGTAAATTAGAGGATATCAATATATCTTTATTGAATTTTTTGTAAAAATTAAATTATCTTTAACGACGACGTTCTTTAGCTGTTCTCAACAAGTCTATTAAAAGATCACCTTCGTCGATTGCGCCTTCTACATTTTCTGCCATTTCACGAATATCATCATCAGTAATAATATCCTTTTTCGAACGGAACTTCTCCGTAAGATCTGAAACTACTTTGCCCAAGATAAATCTATCGATGATATAAGCCTTCTTGTTCGGATCATTATAATTGCAGGCTTGGAGGGTTTTTTTGACAGTTTCGCTTGTCTCTTTTATAAGCTTTTCCTTTGCTTCTTCTTTTGTTATCTCCTCGCTTAATTTTAGGCAATGGATATGTGTTTGGGAATTTGTCCGAACAAGGAAGGTAGGTATAGGTACTTCCATCTTTTCACATGATGTGAGGGTTTGTATGTCAATCTCCATGATTCGGTCTTTCCAACACACGATAATAAAGTCAAAAATAAAAAGCCACAATCTATTTGCACCTGGAATATCGTACCAGACAAAGTTCTTGAATATTGAGCTTCTGTCCGGATATCGCTTTATGTCCATAGTTGTCTCATTGATGCCAACTTTGGCCGCACCTTTATCCTTATCTTTATAACCTCGGAAAGCATTGACTAAAGAAGATTTCCCAGTACCAGCATGTCCAGCGACAGCGAAATGGTAAAAAGATTTGCTAGGGTCTTCGAGCATAGGCTCGGCCTTTTCACGTTGCTCTCTGGTTGGCCTTATCTCTGGAGGGATGCCTTGGTTCCAGGCATATTGCTTTTTCAAGCAATCTTGCATCTTTTTCAAGTCATCATGCATCTTTTCCAAGTCATCTCGCATCTTTTTCATGTCCCGTCGGCTTGAAAAAACCACCGCGATAGAAGCCGGGAGGACGACTTTTAGTACGGCGACCCCTATTATGATTACGGGAAGTACCATTACTTTCAAACAGAGAATTGTCAGATCACAATAAATAATCAGAAACTTTATCTGACAGTTACGCGGTTCCCATATTTCGCCGTGTAACAAATAGCCTTTGTATCGTGTGATTTTCTACATATACGCTAAAGTAAAATTGACATGTGTACCCGTACATCGTATTGATAATAATAATGGGTACTATCTCGATTTGCTTCTTTAAAACTTCTATTGGCTGTAGATAAATTTCATAATGACGTTAACGCATTATTAGATACTGTATAGTTGGGATGAAGTTTTTTTGGGGGGTTTTGCCGATTATTTGCCGATCACTTTCAATAGTAGAATTTAAATCGCAGACTTTTGAACGAAGCAAGCTGTACTATAAAACAAATAGTAAGACTTTTTTGTTTTCTTTGACAAAATTACCGAACCAAAAGGCAATATTTCTGTTGGAGTTGATGAGGTTGCATATGTAAAACTTTTTTTTAGTAACATTTCTCCACTGTTTTATAACAAAATAGAAAAACCCCCCACTATTTTCTTATAATGCAGGTGTTACAGTGTGTTTATAGTCTTCATGAGCGTAGCTTGCTTTGTTCAAAAGCCTTAACAGTTTGTATATTTTTATTGGTTTGTAACACAACCCCATATAGTATATAAATTCTCACGTCTTCCGTTCAAGTTTTTGAAGCCAATTGATTGCACTTTTTGAAAATAATAACAATAGTGTAATAGGGCAGACTGCACATTTTACCACATGAACACAAATAGTGTGGCTGTAGATTGACCAATGTGACTGATAACATTTTGAAAAAATTTAACATAACAATAGTGGTGCTCATGCATACATTAACATTAAATGCTCGGAATGTAAATGTGACTAACATTAAATTGGTCAAAGTGAATATGAAGTCATAACATGATTAATAGATAATTATTTCTGTATAATATGAAACTAATTTACCATGGAATTACAGCACTATTAGAAGTATTTTAAAGAAAAAACAAGGTAAAAAATTGCACCTTATGTTTTTAAAATAAATGCCATCTAAACTTACCTAGATAAAGGAAAAATCACTTACGAAATTTATGTCAGCGGTTTTCTTCGCGAGGCGGCTGCGCCCCCTCACCGTGACAATAGAGCTCTGTAGTGTCGATGCTTAGTGATGAGGCCACCGACTTAGCCAACTTTATTATACT